CTGTTTACATTTAAAATCTGCCTGTGATTGAATGAATGGTAATTTTCCCTCTGGTGGACAAATTCAGCGGAGCGGGCTGAATGCAGGGTTGATATATGTACTATAACAGAAGGTGAGGACTCTGGACGGATAAATCCGTAAAGGAAGTGCTTTTTTCTTTTTCCCTTTACTCAGTCTGGAATGAATTTATAATGTACTAAAGTACAGAGCATAAAAAGACAAAAATGAGATTTTGTTCCACTTAATCTGAGGCATTACAACATGAAGAATTATGGTTTCTGACAGGGAGCTTGAGAGCTGGGAGCGTGTGGCCGCCACTGGGCTGAGCGGGACGTCCCGGCCACGGTCGGGTCCACATGCAGCCGTGCGCGCATGTAACCCCGGCTGGGCACGGGACAAATTAAAGAATGAGCCCGACTTCATAAATTGTCCTTGGCCAAACAAAAGGTGATATCCTTGCGGTCGCCGTTGTTGTGTCTTGGCTGTGAAATAATTCAGCTCCCATCATATGGGAATGTAATGCCCAGTGGGGGTGGGGGCATTTTGGGGGGGGATCAGAGGAGTAGGGGGGGAGGTTTCGCCCGGAGTGAGCGCATTTCCTAAAGAATGTTGAACGCAGACCCGCTCAGTCCTCCAGAGACGGCCACCGCCATAGAGAAATGGGATCCCCAAGCTCGGAATGGAGGGGGGGCTTACGAATCCCTTCTATCGACCCTGTGCAACTTCAAAGGGGTCCTGGAAGCCATTAAAACGGACAGACCCGCCAGAAAATAAACTATGCACCATTCCTGTAGAAGATGCAGAGGAATGTGCCCCCCCACACACACACACTCCCCCACCTCGACCCAAACAGGCTGGGACTTTGTTCCGGCTTGGGCCCTGATCCGTGCAGCGGATGCTCATAAAAGCACAGGGGCCAGCATAGGGGTCCTCACAGGGGCCCCCACAGGGGCCCACCTTGCTCCCACTGCCGGCCCCTGTCTCGTAAAGACGCTCCCCAGACCCCCGGCCCCCGGGCTCTCAGGAGACACTGCGGTCACTGACACGGCGCCGTTTCATCATGGAAAAACATCGGCCACAATGTTCAGCCGACCTGGAGATGTCAGGGCATGGGCGTGCATGTGTGCGCCAAAATGCATTATTTCCTTCCATGGTAATGAAAACATGAAATACCTGCAGAGGATGTTATATATCCAAGCACATCTGTTACAACAGTCACCGAGTCCAGCCGCTCCGCTTCTTCCGGTCTCCCACTTAGCATAGGCCAACATTTGGCTGAGAAACTTTAAGATAACAGTAGAAAACTTATTTCACCTGCATGTTTGTTTTGTGTTGTTTCATCACAATGGTTTCCAGATGCACAGGACTGTGCTTCTGAAAAAGGCCGGTTAGTGAAAGTTCAAATATCAGATGTGTGCTGATAGTGACCTCTGGTGGAAGAAAGCTGTACTGCACCCAGTGGCAGAGTAGGGGGCTAGCATGGCGGTGCAGTGGTTAGCACTGTTGTCTCCCACCTGTGTGTGTGGAGTATGCATGTACTCCCTGTATTTTTGTGGGGTTTCCTGTAGTTTCCCCCCACAGTCCAAAAGCATGCTGAGATTAACGGGAGTTACCAATTTCCTCATAGGCAGAGTTGCCAACTCTCACACATCTGGAATGACACTCGTGCTTTCTGACACTCGCAAATCTGACTATAGCAAATCTATAATTCCATTATGAACCTAAAATTAGTTACCTCACAAGCACTGGGGTAATTTACAAACTTTACAGACTATTTACAAGGTAATAAAAGTCTTACATACATGTAAATTAGTGTGCAGACTTCTCTCAAACTGAAAATCTCACGCCAGCCAGCTAAGCAAAGTTGACAACCATGCACAGGTGTGCATGTGTGAGTGAATGGTGTGTGAGTTTATGAGTGAATGGTGTGTGAGTGAATGAAGTGTGAGTGTGTGAGTGAATGGTGTGTGAGGGAATGAAGTGTGAGTGAATGGTGTGTGAGTGTGTGAGTGAATGGTGTGTGAGTGAATGAAGTGTGAGTGTGTGAGTGAATGGTGTGTGAGTCTGTGAGTGAATGAAGTGTGAGTGAATGGTGTGTGCATGTGTGAGTGAATGGTGTGTGAGTGTGTGAGTGAATGGTGTGTGAGTGTGTGAGTGAATGGTGTGTGAGTGTGCCCTGTGATGGGTTGGCACCCCTGTAGCTGGATTCTTCCCTGCCTTGTGCCCGTAGCCTACAGGACAAGCTCCGGACCCCCTACAACTCTGAGCAGGGTAAGCAGTTACAGAAATGGATGGATGGACGTATGTAGTATAACAAAATTCTTACCTGCTGCTTCCCGCAGACCAAAGTATTTAAGTAACAATGCCAGATTAATAAGGATCTGTACCAATCTCCCTGCCCTAAACATTGACTGTTTTAGGGACAGTGGCATATCTCAGGCTTTCGTCACTAACATGTCACTTTGGATAAAAGCATCTGATTAACAGAATTTGGGGTCCAGTGGATCCATCAGGACTAGACTAGACAAATGAGCAGATTCAGATTCAGGGAAGAATGACATTGGGCTTCAGCTCCCCGTCTGGTTTGCTGACTCACCTCTGAGTCCGATGTCTTGCTCTCAGATATGGGGGGGGGGCTGTGTACGGCTCAACTGTGTGTGATCAGAAGCTTGCTGGATCAAATCCTGGGGCCAGAAAAGTAATTTCACAGTGGGGCATCTAACCAAGGCCCTTAATCCCTAATTGCACATTGGATTGTCTTACCTTGTTTTCTCAAAAATGTCACTTTGGATAAAAGTATCTGCTAAATGAATGAAATGTAAATAAATTGGGACATTAAACAGGGTGAACGGACTCCATAATGCACGTGTAAAACTGCTTAGCAGGAAACTCCTTTATTCTCTGGAAAAGGATCAAATTCATGGCATTTTTAAGCAGAAGATATTTTGATGTGAGCTAGTTTGCTGAGATACGCATCCCATTACTTACTTCCTCTGCACTAAACCTCCGCATCACCCATGACTCTCTTGAAATCTCATAGCAAAGAGCTACCGTACCCTACAGGAGAGTCATTTCCCATCATGCAATGGGCCCTGTCAGACTAGACTTTTATTGTCATTTAAAAAGTACTTAAAATCCACTCACCGTGACACTCTCCCTCTCTCGGCTAAGTGTCTTCTCCCAGTGACACAACACCCTCATTGTCAAGAGCCACTGTGGGGTCAAAGGTCAGAGCAAAGTGCCAACTGTGTGGAGCAGGGACTCGATCGGGTGACTCAGTGAACGTCAGCGTACTCGCCTGCGATGGGGTGTGGAGCATGAGGTTGGAATTGTGCCATCTTTAAAGAACGTACAGATGAAATAAGGGCGGGAATGTTTATTCTCTAATATATATCTTCTTTTTTAGAAAATTTAACTCTTGGGGAATTCAGCCCAACGTTTTGCAGGGTACATACACCTTAGTGTTGATTTTGAGTTAATGAAAGATCTACATCGGAATGTAAAATGGACAAATGAAATAGGTGACATTTGGTGAGCCGTCCATCTTTCATCATTGTGTACCACAGTTGGAAAGTTAAAGAGAAGATATAGGAAAGTCAAATACGACGGGAGCAGATGTTGCAGTGTGTATAATCTGACTCCTCCACGCCTGGGCTCACCTGTCCCACCCCCTAGAAAAGGGACACTGATAATGTAATCTCTCTCCCCCTCTTTCTACCTTCCTTCTCATGTGACTCTGATTCCAAAGATGGGGTTGATTTTCAGTCCCATGAACAGGTCAGGGGGGCGAGGCCGGGATATAAGGCTTCAGGGACTCCCTGACTTAATTAACATCCTGCCTAATTACCGCCAGCATTCCACCCTCTACACCATCTCTCACTCCGCTTTGATGGCGGCTCACGTTTCAGCCTGGCCTCCTGTCCACTCCCCACTCACGTGGGAAACGAAAGCAGAGATCGGCCGGATGAATGGAGTTTCACTTTTCCTCCGTCTGTTTCATTAGTTACCCCTGCATCTCCACCCCTCGGTCCCTCCAGCGTTTCACCCGTTCTGAGATACACTGCAGCAGGCAGCACAGAACTTCTGTTTGCATTTCTGTGCTAATCTTTAAAATCAGACAGCAGGACGGCAGTGAGCCAGAGCAACAGGCAGTGGAGGCGAAGGCTGGATACTGACACAGCCGGTGACCCTGGCAAGCAGCACTCGGGCCTGGAAGGAAATAGGAAGTGATTCAGTCAGATCTGTTAGGTAATCATGAGCTGTGAGTTTCCGCTTAATGGTTTTCCTCATGGGTGGCATGGCGGTGCAGTGGCTAGCACTGTTGCCTCATACCTCTGGGACCTGGGCTCGCGTATCCACCAGGATTCCATGTGTTTGCATGTTCTCCCCGTGTCATTGAGGGGTTTTCCTCCGGGTACTCCGGTTCCCCCCCACAGTCCAAAAACACACTGAGGTTAATTGGAGTAGCCAAATTGCCCGTAGGTGTGCATGTATGAATGTGCCCTGCGATGGGTTGGTGCCCCATCCTGGGTCATTCCCTGCCTTGGGCCCCCAGCCTCTGGACCCCCTGTCATCCTAAATAGGACAAGCGGTGAAAGTGAATGGATGGATGGATGAGTATTGAAGTGTGTCTCTTGGTACCACTACTCCCCCCACGCCGCAGGCACAGCAAGCCACCTCCCATGGCTGCGGTCAGCAGGTAGTTCAGCAGCGATTATCTCCAGAGGAATGCCTCACTGTACATATAAACTGGTCCACATGTAGCTCATTACGCTGATGGGCGTTTCTGCAATACTCAAGCAAACACCACGTACATCACAGCGTTTAACCAGTCACTGGCTATCTAACATGCACTTGTAGATAACAGAAACCACATAACTTAAATTTTCACCTTTGAGTGACCAAGACGAATATACTGTACATACTGCAAATGGCACACCTCAACATTAGAAGGGATTATTAAAAAAAAAACAACAATAATAAAATAGAGAAAGCAAGGAGACCTTTTTTGTACCATGTTTTATTGGAAAAACAAATAAAATTAAACAAAAAAAAGCTGTTATACAGCCTCAAGCCATCCAGAGAAACTCCTCCTCACTGCAAGAGAAGTTGTGTACAATGACATCATCACTGTGCACCATCACCGGCACGTCGGCAAGGCGATATATGCTAAGACAGTGGGGTGCTGCCGTCCCTGACTCGGTACAGCAAAAAGAGGATTTCCAGCACAACGTCGATTATCTCAGAAGACCGGAAGCAGAGAGATGAGTCAAGTCCTTTAATTAAACAGAGCCAAGTGTGTATGAACCGTATTACAAACACATAATATGGGATGTAAGTCGCTCCTTCAAGAAAATTAAGTTTGCTAAGTAATGAACTTGGGGATAGTGTACCAGTATAAATATAAACATTTTCCTAAAAATATTTACTGGGACAGTAATTTAGCTTTTTGCCTTCATTTTACTCAATTTACCTTCTCTACACATTTGCAAGATCGCATATGTTCAGTCATATTCCCATATAGCAGGGAAACTCATTCTGTGATCAAAGGTTTTAAATCGGACTGGAGGGGAGCTGTTCAATAATGGGAATGTGTGAAGCACAGCTTGTATAATGAAGGATGGAGGGGTTCCCCGCAGGAAGTGGCATTACAGACCTGTGCTGTGTCCTTCCTGAACGAGATGCTAAGATGCTGGATTGGTCTGAAGAGGGTCTTTGCCATTTTAGTGTGGGGGAGCTTCCCCTGAATCACAGTCTGGGGCCGGAGCTCAGCTCATCAGCCATTCTGGACATCTTAGAACGCAGCAGTGACCCAGCGGGAGACGATCTGATTCCCCCCTTTCAAGGAATAACATCCCCGTACTTTGCTGCCGATGTGTCTCCTAGCAAACCGTTGGCCACTTTTGTTTTCAGTATACTGTATTCTGGGGGAAGGAAGGGGAAGGAGGGAGAGAGAGCGAGTGAGAGCGAGTGAGAGAGCAAGACAGAAAGAGAGAGAGAGAGCAGGAGAGAGAGAGAGAGAGAGCACTAGAGGGGAATTCAGAACTTCCTGGTGTTTGTTCGACACCTCCACACGGGCATCTGCTCGCAGGAACCAAGTTGATTTGAAGTTGGATGCTTTCAGCCGCTTTCTAGCAAGAGGGTCACAAAAAAGCAACAACGACAACAAAAAAATATATTAAAAAAAAAACAAAAAGAGGGAGGAAATATCGAAAGCCTAGATATTGCAGAGTCCACCAGTCTGTTCCTGATACACTTCAATGACATCCTCGTCCTCCATTCCCAGCTGAGAGCAAAGACAAAGAGCGGGTTATGAACATCATATTCGCTTAATATTCTTATTTTGCTATAAAACTCAGAAAAAAAGATCACAAGATTTCAAATGAATTGGCAGGTTGAGATAAGACTAGGCACCTCTTTTGGGGTTTGGTTGTCTGCAATTCTCTGTCCTTCGAATAAAAACCTTAGAGAATTCATGGGAACACCCTAGAAAGAAAACAAAATTATATTCAGATGAGTGATGAATTCTGGGCTAACTGGGAGTAATGGTGAAAAGGACCCTGGTCACGTTTACCTGTCTCTGGCTGTATGATTCCTTTAACTTCTTCAGGTGCGTCGTCATCTTCACCTTGAAGTGAATTTCGCTGTTATCCTGAGGAATGGAAGAAAACGCAAACACGGGGTCGCATGTGAACAAGCCCTGATCACTCTGTTCCTGCCAGACCAACCCACACCTTCATACTGAAGCAGAACATTATCCTTACATTCAGTCTGTGCTCCGCCCCCTCGCCCCACCCCCATCTTACCTGACCAATCACCTTCAGCTTGATGTACTCCCCATCCTTTCTGTCCCCCGCATCCTGGCTTGATGGTTTTGTCTCCTGCAATGATGAAGGAGTTATTCGCATGTGGAAGCATCACATATTAAAGGCTGTGCTTTCAGAACCATGGTCACCAATCCTAAGACTTGCATATGCACTGAACTGCCAGAACACCCTGCAAAGCTGACAAGGAACTTCTAATTTTGCTATTATCTATTACGTAAAAGGCTTTGAAGCCTACAGCGTCTATAGTATGTTCCAGACAGCATGACCCTCAATTTCCTACTTAGTCATACACAAACACTTACTGCAGCTTAACTGATGTTCCACACATCACCATCTAAGCACCCTGTGGTGGCATGTGTGGGGGTAATCCATATTGGCTCCTTCATCATACCAGCATAAAATTAAAATGGAGAAGACTAACATGCACAGGTCCTCCTACATAACTTCTGGACCTATTTATGTAAAAATCAACAATAATCACACGTTTCCAATGACACATTATGAATGTGAAAGCTGGTGGACGTTATTTAATCAGGCGTTTCTATAGCTCCTCCATCACCTCAGCCCTGCTGCCTCCAAACGGGGGATCCGGCCTGTTTTTGCCTCCTATCTGCATCTCCAGTTTGGACACGGAGGAACTCCTCATCCGGTCCTAATCTCCGTTTCGCCGTTTTTAAAATGCTATAACATCTCAATTTATCTAATTCCATCCAAATCTATTACATCTGCGGTTTCACTTATATTTTAATATTCACGAACACACGTCACGTAGTATACCTGAAACGGGAAATAGGGCAGGGGAAAAACACCCGCATCTGAGAATGAAGCCTTTGTACGCACGACCATCTACCTTGTATTTTTCCCCAAGTATGCATCTACAGGCCTCCTTAGTACATTCCACATCCAGCGAAACTGGGGTTAAAATTAACCCACAATGCTGCGTTTCTCTACCCCTACACATACTATTGGAGGACATTCCCGGCCACTTTAACGGTACATAACAGCAGAAAATTAACACAGATGTGCTCATCAATGTGCTGTGCGCGACATTAGAGGCTGTACCGGAGCAAGCTGGGCTGGTTAAACTTCTGAACGGCGCTACACAGAAAAGCACCGCTTCCATGTGCATCTGTCTTCTAGACAAGATAAAGATCAGTACAGTGATACTCCATCGACACAGACCCTGCTACGGACTAACCAGACAGGATGTGTGTTACAAGCTACTCAGAACCGGGCAGCCAGTCTGAGGAATTACACGGCGCATGACAGCGGTGCATCGGTATTTCGCCAACCAGCAGTGATTAATAGAGTGCAAACTAGTACAAAGCAAGAAAGCATCATTACCACTTAGCACTCCAAACATGCTCCGGATTTCACAAACACAAACAGCGAGCCAGACTGGCAAGTGCAATCTCGGCTCGGCCTCGATCCTGAGGCCCCTCAGCTATCGTTTCCTGACCGTTTTGAAGTAGATCACACTTACCGTATCTGACATGGTATTTAGTTCGGATGTAAAACGTTTCGAATCACTTTTGTTTCAATATAGATGTATTGTGTATTCTTTCTGAGTCTACACTAAGCAAAAACAGGCTCTGACCTCATTGGTATGGGGCGGGACTTCCGGAGTCTTACGTTACCGCATTGGCCAGCTTGCTCGCCATATACAGAAAAAAATAAAAGAGAGGAACGAACCTCTAACCAATTAAAGGTACGATGTGCTCTGACGATGCGTGACGACGCTTGACTGACTGCTGTAGTTCACATGGGATAGACTGATAGAGCTTTTGGGTCGCTGACTAAAAGCTGAGGTAGATGAAAAAAAATTGACAGAATGTGAAAGAGGTACAATATTCAGAAATCGCGTAGCAGTAATCACGGTAAATGTTGAACATTAAGTGGAGCATCACATTATTGCACAGTAAGAGAAAAGATCAGTTTAGACAGATCGTGGGCTTAGAATATTTCAGCATCCTTTGGTTGTATCTCCGTCCGTCGGCAACAGTTTGATTTAAATTTTACGTGACTCATGAGTGTTCTTTAGATTTTAATCATTTACTGGTTTTGAAAAGAAAAGTTAATTATTTGATTTGATGGATCACTGTTAAATAAAATACAGAAAATAATTACTGATTAAAATGTTGGTGCTGTTTCAGACAGCAAGCGAACTTGCAGTTTTTGAAGTGAGTACTTCTGTTGATAGTCATTAAATTACCAAAACAATGCGAACTAAATAATTTGGGTTTACGTATATGATAGTAAAGATAAAGTTTGACTAATTAAAGGTTGTTATTAATATCTAAGGATTCCTGTCTGGTTTAATGGCAGTGCCTATTAAGAGCTTATAGGAAGGCCTCTTATTTCCCTTGTCCTTTTGCGAATACATGCATTTGTGTATTGCAAATGAGATCTAATATAACACCAGGAAATGTTTTCCAAGCAATTTCTGCAGTATTGTGGCAATAAATATTACAAACAAGTTCCTTTGAGTAATCGAAATGTGAGACGGAGTACGTAAGGGCAGTTACTTGGTAGTGCTGTAATCAAAAGTGCGCCGTGGCATTTCTTTGGTAATATCATAACCCCCCGCCTTCTCTTCCTCTTGCTGTTTCATAGCTGCCTCTGTACTCGTGGGGGGAAGCTTGGGATGAGTATCAAGAAAGGTTCTGGAAAAAAGCCACATTCTTACGGAAGTGCATGAAGCGCTCGCCGTCAGCGATGCCAGTCAGCGATGCCAAGCTTGGGGGCGTCATCAGCGTAGGCTACTAAGCAGCACCTTTAAGAGGCAGCCCCCGCGTTTCCTCTTATATGCAGTGTTGTCGCCGCCTTTACATTCGCTAAACCGTTGCATGATAAGTGCCTGATCTGGCTCACTTGGGGACATAAAGTAGCAGCTTTTCAAATAATGTAAAAAAAAATTTTTTTTTAAAAACCTGGCACTTACATTTAGCACTCTTTTTGGAAGCATTTTAGTTTTTGTTAAAGGCAATGGAAAAATGTGGGGTTTCATTGCTCATTTGGAGGCGGTTCTGTATTTGTACCTCCCATCTTATTTTGTATAACTTTTCCATCCCTTACGGGACAAGTTCAACTTGAACTGCTTTCACGGTCCGGCTGTGGCTGAGCTGTTGAGGGGAATCAGGAGTCTGATGGAGGCTCGCTGCACAGGGCCCCCCCAGTGGGAGGCAGCCGTCATGTCATTAGGCCTGACTCACAGGTGAGACGTGCCTCTGGAGCCATGTTTCACACATCCTCTGCTTTGTGTTGCATCTGCAGTACTAGAAGTGCCAGTAATACTCATTGCAACACATTTATACCAAAAGACAGATACAATGTTTAGGGCGGCTTCTGTAGCTACAATGGAAAATTATTTATTTTTTAATTACTTTTTCTTGATACACGCTCAACTTCAGCCCTGACAAAGTGGACATCATGATTGTTCAAGCCATCTGTGAGTACTACCAAAGACAGATCTGAGGGCGGTCGCCTTTGTTAAAGGGGTGAGGGCATTAAACAATTGATGACCAGTTTGGGAGTAGTGAGTAAGAGTTACCAGTGCTATAGACTGATGCTGAAAATGAAGTACATTGAATATATCAGAGTGTCTGTATTTGACATGTTTGTTTGGTTTCCTGTATATAGCCTTTTGGCCATTGTGAATGTTTTTACTCATTTAATTAGAGCTCTGTCTAATGTGAGGATGGATGGATGGTACATCAACCATTTCCTCCTGCCCCGTTTAGTTGTGCTCTTGTAATGCACCGTACGCATTTGTTTGCGTCCGTGAGTCACATGTAATGCCAAATGTTTTTATTAATAGCATTTAAAAGTATAAGCATGCCAGTTTGCCAGTTGGAGTTGAATTCCTTGGAATGGTATGGTTGGCGTCCCCCAGAGTTAGGAAAAATCATCACAGACAACCTGGCCTACTGCAAGAGCATACGAGAGATCGGTATAATCACAGATGCGACTGATTGTTCTCTTTGAAATACTCATATTTTATATTCATATATTTGAAAAATTTGAATAGAAAAAAGATTCAGGAAGAATAATCCATGTTTGAACAACATCTTAACAACCATAATTCATGTGTGGTTCATATTCTGGGGGGCATGACACCTGTACAGCTTTTTTAACGAGTAACACACATGAGTAACACACATGATTAACATGAGTAACACACAAGTAAATAGGAAGGTGCAAGCAATGCTCCAGAGGGCCTAAAGATCCTTGAAGTCTCACTCTGTCTCATAGCCTTACGTGCTAATCTGCCTGTCTCACCTTAAATCAGACGCATCAGTGAATCAGGCAACGCTCTGGCAAAGGCGGAATGTATCAGCAAAAGAGGTGAACTTTGACCCCGGTTTTTGAATTTTACAAACCTCAGATTCCACTCGGGGAATGAATTAATGAAAATCAGCACAAGTGGGCTGGCAACGTTGAGTCTTTTGGCCAGATTTTTTTGTGTTTCCAAATAAATGGGTCTGTTTACCTAGTTCAGTATGTCATGAATCTTGGTTTGCATAACTGATAATGTTAAGTTCCATTCCCAAAAGTCAAATGGTAAGGCCTCATCTTGGATTTTGCTTCTGGTGTCCAAGTACGTAACCATTCTATCAGCTGGCCCTCTAGATCACAGTATCATGGTGTCAGTTGATATTATCATATCCTGTTCCATTACAGTGAGGTAATAGTCTATAACCCCTCTGTTGATACCACGCTCTCCTCAGGTTCCAGGAAGAAGAAGTTAGAGAAACTAGAAGAGGGGGAGGAGAAAGAGAAAGAAAAATCACCAATAACTAAAGCCAAGAAAGTAAAAAAAAAAGCCACAGAATCCATATCTAAAGGAAAATTGCTTTGTTTTAAGCAATTAGTAACTGTATTCCCCAGACCGGGAATACCTATGGTTTTGAGCCCAGTCCGCTGCTGCCACAGGCATTTCTCGTTAGCCTGATAACTTGAAAAGTATTTGATGGATCTCACTTACTCATTAAATGCATGACAGTCTGGAAATGGTCAGATTTTAAGACAAATCCCACCCCATGACGATAGCAGTGGAAGGATAGGGCAGCTGCAGAAGGCACTTGATCTCGTAAACACAGTAACTCTGAAAAAAATGTAATGGATCTTGTTTTTAATGGAACTTCTCTTGATCATTTCATAGGTGTTCTGGAACCTGTTTTATTCTGAGACAATAAATACCAAAACTAAATTAAGATGGGTGCTAACTGGTACTAACTATCTGGCACTAGCTAGGTGTACATAATAATGTGGGTGCTATCTGGTACTAGCTAGGTGTACATGAAGTGACCACCGTATGTATATCTCACTGCTGTTGTTCTCTGATATAATTTCAGAGTTTCCCTGAATTTCATTAATTTCCGACAATTGGAATAAAGAGGAAAAATGTCAAGGAGGAAAAATGACAGAAGCAAGTGAATGAGGAAGGTTTAATCTGCATTTAATTTTTCTCCATTAGCAATATGGAATTTAGAAGACTTCTGAGAACAGAAATAACCAAGCTGTTAGTTCCGGTTACTAGCACATTCCTAATTAGTCAAATGTATATTTTCTTTACCGTTAATCATTTCCCAGTTAGGAAAACTTGTTTGACAGGCATGTATTTGGTATAACCCCCCCCCCCATATACTTTTTTAAGCAAATGAAAGTTATATGAAGGTATTCATGAGTTGTGTTTCAATAATATGAAAGAAGGCTGACCTGATACATAAAGCCCTCTTTGTTTCACTTGACCTATTTTGTCTTTATTCTCTGTGTTGTTGAACTAGTTTATCCTTGTGAAATGCGAAAAGAGCAGTGTGACAATTAGCAGTCGGTGTTGGGGAGGACAAATCCCACCCCCAGCTGAAATATCTTGCAAATACAGCCTGAGTATGACCTGTGGTTGGACCCTCCAGTGGTTCAGAGTCCTGCCTGTTTCTACGATGGAAAGCTTCTAATTAAAGTCAGAGGTGTGATTAGGGGAGTGGTAAAAAAAATATTATCCCAGTGAAAATTTGGTTTGCCTTGCCTCCCACTTCACTGAACAACTGACTTGTAAGTCACTTTCTGTAATGATGTTTGTAGAAACAGTTTTTAGATAATAAAATTCAGCTGAATCTTATTGTAACCAGCTCATTCTATGTATGGGGTGGGTTACCTGTAGAATTTTTTTACACAAAAGGGTACTAATTGTTATTAATTTTATTATGTATTAATTTCATACCTCCAGTGTTTTGCATTCCATTCATATCCCAGTTTAGAGGAAAGCTACACTGTCAAATACTTTATTCCACTTTCACTGCTGAAATACGTCATATGGGAAGACTGTGATGTACACCCCCCCGAAACAATGTATCTGTTTTGGTCACAAACAGTGGCTATACTAAATATTAAATAAATGTGCTCCTTATTTAGAGGATGCCTTCTCTACCTGCTAGTTAACTTTAAATGCACCATTAAGTAACCATATTCCAGCAGCACCACAAAAAGACAATCGAAGGTAGGAAGCCCCTAAGAGAAGAAAAACAACCTCACTTTGAACACAGATAAAACCAAGGAGATGATCATCGACCCAAGGAAAAAGAAGCTGCAGAACACTCCTATTCATATCTGTGAGGCCGAAGTGGAGAGAGTGGAAGTCTTCAAATTCCTTGGAACTTGCATCAGTGAGGATCTGACCTGGACTCATAATACACAACAGCTCATCAACCAGGCGCACAAAAGACTGTACTTCCTGAGGAAGCTGAGCAAATTTGGTATGCCAACCAAAACCCTAACCAATTTCTACAGAGGTACAGTAGAGAGTGTCATCACCAGTTCCATCACCGTATGGTAACTGCACTGTGCAGGAGAGGAAGGCTCTCCAGTGTGTAATTAAAACTGCACAGTACATTTCTGGAACAACCTTCCCCTTTCCGCAGGACATCTATAACAGTAGGGTCATTAAGAGGGGCCCACGACATAATTAAAGACCCCCAACACATCGTGTTCACACCGCCCCCCTCAGGAAGACGCTACAGGAGCATAAAGTCACGCACCACAAGACTGACAAATATCTTTTTCCCTGAACAATGGAACAATGCGAAAAGCTCAGGCTAATCTGACCCCATATTCATATCCAACTCTTACTGTATGTCACTCAGTACTCTGCACTTTGAGTGATTCTTTTTCGAAGAGCAAGCAAAGGAAGAATTTCATTACATGGTTTTAACGTGTACATGTTTTTTACTGTGTACATGACAATAAACTTCTTGACTTGACTTGAACCACCTGATGAGGATGCAGCAAAGCTAGGTGACTGGGACCCCCCCCCCCCCCCCGCCCCAAACCATCACACATCAGATTGTTGGATAGATGAAGTGATGCCTTTTTTTTATAATTCAACACAGGTTAAAAAGACATAGGACAAACATTTAGTAACAGGACGTCGGACAAATGATAAATGGTGTGACTACAGAAGAGAATCGATTCACATTGGCAATTTACGTGAAATATTTGAAAACGCGTTTTTATTTGATGCTCCTCGGCTACCGTTGGTCTACAGCGTATCGGTAAATTTGAGAGTCGGAAAGAAATATCTATAGAAACTATCGAACGAAGACATTAATTTTGTGTACGACTAACTGCCTTACTTGCGAACTACGATATAACAACGTCTGATGTGTGTTTTTTTTTTTACGGTAGTTCGAGTGATGATCGTTTAGACACACATGGTTCTGGTGGCGCACATGTTTCTAGTAGTCGCTACTGATCGGCGTGTTTTCGTTCTACGTGGGTAGACCCTATTTTTTCCAGGGATCAAAAATCAAAATAATTAATAGAATAGCAGCTTTAAATAACAGGAAAAATGTCTCAGCTACAAGCGAGATTCTTCACAGAAAATGAAAAGTAAGTCGATTTGACGCCCCCGTTAACTTCGGCTCGGCGTGTTCGTTACTGTTAGTCTAACAAGTTTTCAGTGTTTTGTGTCTAACAAGTATCTGCTTTATAAATGAGGTACCTAGTGTAACTACGCACAAATGTGTCCCATTTATTCGTCTTTTATTGATTTGAATATCGCGCTGGAGGTACTCTGGGATTCACGCCGCCATGCGGTTCAGTTAATTGGTGTCCCAGCTGCCCATGGCCTGTGGTCGTATGATGCGATGGATTGGCGTCTTGTTCAGGATATATCCCAGCCTTGTGCCCTGTGCTGCCGTGGATAGGCTCCAGGTCACGTCGCTCCGTAACCAGTATACCATTGATGAATAGATGGCTGTCGTTTCTTTAGTCCAGAAGGTGCGTTTTGGATCACGCTGAAGGCGTGCACGATCACGTTATCGCCTTTTTCACTACTTTAGGTATAAAATCGATGACGTCCCGTTCTCCATCCCAGCATCGTCGGAGGTAAAGGATCTTAGTGACATCATTAACAAGCTGCTCGAAGGGAAATACGGTAAGGCCGTGGTACGCTGGTCAGGCATAAGCCATTGCCAGCCTTGGGTTCAGATAGACCCAGTGCACTGTGTGTGTGGGGGTTTACCTTTGCATTCTCCCTGTTTATTCTAGCTGCCCACAGCCATGTTGACTTTGACTTCTTGGTCAGAGGACAGTTCCTTCGCATGCCGTTGGTTGACCACATGGAAGCCGAGGGCATCACAACAGTAAGGATATTTGCTGGGGCAGCCAGGCGCACTGGCATATTGACATAAGGCTCAATCAGGGTGGCAATGTTTACCCCCAGTCTGACCATGTGATTGCCTGGTGCCCCCTGTTGGCCACAAACAGTTACTACATTATTAAATAAACGTTCCTTATTCAAGAGATTCTAACCAGTCAACTACAATATAATGACTCTTCTTGCTATTCATTTGTTTGTTGGTTAATTGATTGAAGCATGTGAGGGGGATGGGTTTTTTTGCCCCCGCCAAACCTGCGTTTTTGCCTCCAGGAAGAGGTGGTGGAGATTGAGTATGTGCAGAGATTCACGGCTCCTGAGCCTGAGGAGTGCATTATGCACGACGACTGGATCAGCTCCGTGGAGGCCGACATGGAGTGGTAAGTGACCGCATCACCATGGAGCTGCCGCCCACAAGACTTGCAGTGTCTCTGTGGGAATTTTTGCCCATTCCTCCAGAAGAGCATTTCTTAGGTCAGGTACTGATGTTGGACATAAAGGCCTGGCTCACAATCTCTGATCTAGTTCATCCAAAAGGTTTTCAGAGGGTTTCAGGTCAGGCCTCTGTGAGGGCCAGTCAAGTTCTTCTGCACCAAACTCACCCAACCTTCCCTTTATGGACCTTGCTTTGTGCACTGGGGAAACGGGCCTTCCCCAAACTGTTCCTACAAATCTGGAAGCATGGAATTGTCCAAAATGTCTTGGTATGCTGAAGCATTAAGAGTTCCCTTCCCTGGAGCTAATGGTCCTAGCCCAAACAACTCGATGTAATGTTCTCCTGGCATCTGCCAAACCCAGACCCGTCCACCAGACTGCCAGACAGAGAAGCGTGATTCGTCGCTCTACACAACACATATCCACTGCTCCAGAGTCCAGTGTCACCATGCTTTACACCAATACATCCAACACTTGGCATCGCGCTTGGTGATGTGAGGCTTGCATGCAGCCTCTCGGCCATGGAAGCCCATCCCATGAAACTCCTGGAGCACAGTTTTTGTGCTGAGGTTAATGCCAGAGGAAGTATGGAACTCTGTAGCTATTGAGGGAACAGGGCATTGGTGACTTTTACGCTCTGTGCACCTCAGCACTCGGCGACCCCACTCTGTTACTTTACACGGTCTGCCACTTCGTGGCTGAGTTGTGTGGCTGTAAGGAATCAGAAACTGGTGAAATTCGGTCAAACTGCAGAACGCTGCCTGGCCTGCTGCAGAAAATGCAGATTCCTGGGAGTCAGCACAGCTCTAGGTAACGGCAGGGGGCACTGTGACCTCCGAGGGCCACTGGGAAGGGTGACAACGACAGGGTCCACTCTGCAGGTGGAATGTAGTCTGTCATTGACTTGGCACCTCCTTCAGGATCCTGACCGGCTCCTACGATAAGACTGCGCGGATCTGGTCGCCGGAGGGGAACGCTGTAATGACCGTGGCGGGTCACGGGGACGTGGTGAAGGACGTTGCCTGGGTGAAGAGAGGTGACGTTTTTTTCTTTTCTTTTTTTTTGCTCATTGGGATGGAAATCTGGGTGTGTGAGGCGCCCCCCAAGGCTGTGTGTCTCCTGTCTGATGGGTGCTGTGTCCCCCCCCCTCCATAGACGGGCTGACTTCCCTGCTGCTCACCGCCTCCCTGGACCAGACAGTGGTGCTGTGGGAGTGGAGCTCGGAGCCAAACAAACTCAAAGCCCGCCATTGCTGTCGGGGGCACGCCGGCAGTGTGGACTCCGTCGCTGTCGACCCCACGCAGACCAAGGTGAGGTGGGGGGGCAGTCCCACAGTCACTATTAATAACCCACCCAGGTTCATTAAGAATTGACCCACCCCAGTATGGAGAGGAGGGCCTGAGCTGAGCTGATCCAGCCACTGCTCCTGGTCCGCATCATGGCGGCCGGTAATGAAACGCAGGCATGGTGTTGTTCTGATGACCAGGTAGAACATGGCAGGATCCAATCCAGTCTTGTGACCCGTCTCTCTGCCATCTACAGCAGCTTCTCGTTTGGGCTTAGACTTCAGTCACTCATCTCCGGCACTCAGACTTTTATTAATAATAATAATGATAATAATAATGAAAAAATTAAATATTTGTCCCCCTTTCCATTTCCCAAGTTCTGCAGTGGCTCCTGGGATAAAATGCTCAAGATCTGGTCTGCAGGTATGTGTGTGTGTTCTGCAGGTTTTCAGCTGTCTCTCTTTATCTCTTTCTCTACATGGCTAAACTTTTGTTAGCTTGCGTAAGAAAAGACATCTGTGTGTGAACTTCATTCTAATGACTTCTGTCTTGGACTTCAGTCCCCACAGACAAAGAGGACGAGTACCAGGAGATGCCGGACAGACCACGGAAAAAGCAGAAAACCGAGACGCTGGGTCTGACTCGAGTACGGAGCGTGGCCGAGGGGTTGGGGGAGGGGGGCCTCTCCATCCCAACGCGGGGGCTCGCTTCAGGGGGGGCACCTTGGACGGGCTGTGTCTTCATGACAGGACGTGCATGCACAGGCACACATTGAGGGCAAACAAAAGCTGCCGTTTAAACTCGACTCGGAGAGAAGAGTCAAACTTCCCTCGCAAATAGCAGCAGCTGGATGCAGAGAGCTGCCTGTACAGCTGATGATTGTGGCTCCTTGGCAGCCATTGGGGTTAAGGGCCCAATGGGGAAGGCACTGTACCAGCCCTGGGATTTGACCTGATGACCTTCTGATTACAGGCACAGCACCCTAACCTGCAGAGCCACACGCTGTCCGCGTGTCTAGCCCTAATAAAGACTCCCAACTCAAAACTGTATCATAGTTTAATTTAGGGCTCTTTCCCTTTGTAGACCCCCCTGATGACTCTGTCTGGACACACTGAGGCGGTCTCGTCCGTGCTGTGGTGTGACAGCGAGCAGGTCTGTAGTGCATCCTGGGATCACACCATCCGGCTGTGGGACCCAGAGACCGGGAGCCTGAAGTCCACTCTGGTTAGTGATTCAGGGGTGCACTTTTCCCAGATCAACACATGGGGGCGCTACTCACTTGCCATTTTGGTATTATTGTTCATATAATGAGCTGTAGGCGTACAGTTTACGATTTTAAGTTTCCCCAGACGGCTGTTGAGTAGGTTGGTAACTGACCCGGCAGGGGAGTGTGTACCTGTCAGAGTCCATGTCTGATCTCTCTTCTGTCTTTCTACTCTGTATCTTGTTATTGCGATATTTAGACTGGCAGCAAGGTGTTCAACTGCATTTCGTACTCCCCGCTGTGCCGGCGGCTGGCCTCCGGGAGCGCTGACCGCCACGTCCGGCTGTGGGACCCTCGTTCCAAAGGTCAGCGACCGTGTCACCCGTCTCTGAGCGGGTCCGTGCTGGGCTCTTTCCCGAAGGGCCGTTGGCAGACGCTGGTGGCTCCGTCCTAGCCTGGGTGACCCGTTTGCTCTCTGCAGATGGATCCCTGGTGCTGCTCTCCCTCACGTCGCACACGGGCTGGGTGACGGCGGTGCAGTGGTCTCCTACGCACGAGCAGCAGCTAGTGTCCGGGTCCCTGGACTGCATGGTCAAACTCTGGGACACTCGGAGGTTCGTGAGTCTCCCCTCTGTCAAAGAAAGCAAACCGTTCCAACACGACTCAAAAGATGCCTTTGGAATTCTCCCTCAGTGGTCATAGTGATCGCTACGGTGATGTGTTGCCGTGGGTGACAGGTCATGTGATGCTGGAACTCATTGTAAGATCTGACTTGTGCACACAGCTGTAAGGCTCCCTTGTATGACCTGGCAGCTCATGAAGATAAAGTGTTCTGTGTGGACTGGAGGGAAGATGGGGTGAGTCACTTTGGGGGGGGGGTGTGTAATAGCAGGGCCGAGAGAGCAGTTAATGGGCATGACATGTAAAATACCCCAATTCTGTGGTTTAATTAGAAGTGCATTTAAATTAGGTATCTGGCCCTTTAAGGGGGTCTTGACATGTGTGTGTGTGTGTGTGAGTGAGTGAGTGAGTGAGTGTGTGAGAGAGACACGAAGCTGAGTAGGACCTTTACAGCAAGTGTGTGCTGGTGTGGAGGTGGATCTGAACTTCCCAGTCTGATGTTGCTCTTTTTTTTCTGTGCCTCTAGCTTCTGCTGAGCGGGGGGGCGGACAACAAGCTCTACACCTACAGATACTCGTCCTACGTGTCTGGTGCTGGGGCATAACTGGGCTCCACAACGGGCCGCTCGGCCAAACGGGGTGCGTGGGATACTGGGGGATCCATCTATAAATGAAAGTGTTATTTTTATGGTCATTTTAACTCGTAATGATTCACTGAATATTGTTACTGATTGTATGATGAAAGAATTAAAAATGTTAAAAAGGTTGATTCGGCTGGCTCGTTTCATGCTGGGTTCGGTGACCTCGGGACTCGGCGTCCACTTTGACTGCTGAGCAGACCTCAGACGGCACATCGTTACCGTTACATGTGGAGAGTGGTCCAGCAGCCGGTCTTTGTGAAAGACAGAAGTTGTTTTTCTGAGATGTTGTTGTAGTGACATGGATACATAATATTTTATGAAGACTAATTGGAACAATTTGATCTGTGCTTTCCGGGAAAGACGCCTCCCCATCCCCTGGATGGATGGATGGATGGATTCTTTTGAGTTTTATCACCGTTTCATTCATAGATTCCCCTTTTTCGCAATTCTTGCTTTATGGAGTCCTTTAAAACATTTTTGTTAAATTTTAATTAGCTATTTCAAGCTAAAAGGCAATAGGGTTGCAAAGGGGTAGTAAATTTCTGGAAACTTTCCGTGCCATGGGAAGTTAAGCTGAGGGATTTTGGAAATATTCCAAGTTGGAAACTTTCCAAGGGAATAGTCAGGAATATTTTGGAATTAACAGAAATTTCCTAGACTTTTGCAGCCCTACCAGGCAAATACTTTCATGTAAACGAAGACCAAGATGATTTCTCCTTGCACTGCGATTCATATGAGCACCACCAAAGAAATGTGCAGGTATGCACTTTTTTCCATGTTTGAAATTGTATACATCTTTTTCCTAAAAGCCAATGTCATTCTGCTCAAATAACGCATGACCTCACATTTAGTTGAATATTAACAAGCATTACGATAAATTTTTAAAGAACAGTGTATGGATAATATGCAGTGTGTGCCAAGTTAATATATGCAACTCCTTACTCTTAGGTGAGGCTTACTGAGTTGATTCATGCAAATGAATGCTTACGTATAAATGTGCATGGTGAGTAATGTGACAAATGGCATAGTAATTTTACCCTAATACCAATAGGGGGTAGAATTAAGCTGGGTTTTACAGCCAGCTCTGCTGGATGGCACACAATGAGCATAATATCCTTCATAATAACCTTCATAATATCCTTCATCCAACTTGGAAACGCCATCTGACACAGTCGGACTCCTTATGTTCATAATTGATTCCTGCTTCCTTTTTAGGCTTAATGGTGTTACATAACCGTTACATAATAGTAGTTAAACATAATCTATGCAACATTGTAAATGTCATGAATTCATGAATTTCAGCTTTTTTTATTTAAAAAAAATGTCCCATTTCTTTAATACCCCTTTGAGTGTTTTTAATGTGCTTTATATATTTTTATTTATATCCGTAACGTGTTCCTGTAGCATGTTCTGTGTTTCCTTTTCATACGTGTTAGGCTCAGTAACAGAGTATGGCTGCACTTTGCACCCTCTGCTTTGACCTGTAGCAGCATTGACAGGTAAATCCCCGCTATACTCCGGCTTCGGCTTTTAAATGACCGCTGTGGGGGGAGTGTGCTGCTGTCTGATTACCCCGATGCTTTGCTCAGGGTCTGTTTCTTACGGTCTGCATGGCCTCCTTTATACGTGTATTTTGCCAGTTTCACATTGAGTGTAATGTTAACCAGAGTAGAGTTTGTAATGGATTAGATATCCGTAATGCATTCTGAATCTTTCATTTTGTGAATGTGAATTTGATGTTTTCGTCGTCCCTAATCGGGCACATGGACCACGTGTGTGAATGTCTGATGAATGTTGAAGCTGCTACAGATTTTGCTCAGATGGTTTTAGGCTTTGCGCTGGCTGGGATTTTCCTGACAGCGGCTCTGATTCAGCTGCACCCGTTTTCTGTTGATTTTTTTTCAGTTTCTTCTTCCAAAAGCCATTTCATGTTCAGCGTTGTCTTCATCTGTCAGGGCGGCTTTGTGGCTGGGGGCTTCCGTTTGACAGCCACTGGTGCAGTAATGGTGCGATAATGGTGCGTGTCCCTCAAGGCTCCGTCAGTCCTCCTTTGAGGGCATCAAAGGGCGGCATTTTGACACGATTCATTGCGGCTGAATGTCTGACTATCCTGGAAAAGGCTCTGCTGACACAGTACTGTGGATCTGCATAGATCAGTCTGTGGTTTCATTTTAGTGGCGAGAGCCACGTCCCCTTTTCAACAGTCTCTCTTCACAAGTTTCTCTCTTTCCCTCCACTGTCATACATAAATCCATGAAAATCCTTTTATACTGAGTCTACATTACACTGCATACTGTTAGGGGCCTCGATATTTTATGTACCCTCTACAAATGTATGACAACACAGCCCAGTTTAGCTCTGAACTGAATCGAATGAAGGCTAAATACCAGCAGGGAGGGGCTATTCCTGACTAGTGAAGGTGTGTGAGAAAAGACAGACTGCGTCTTTAGCTGTGTCATGCAATAGCTTTGATAATTAGATAGTGGTAAGTCTTTGAGGTTATAACAGATTGAAGTTCCTATACGGACACAGACTGTTCAGGCGAATAAGTGGCAGGCTGTGCTGTGTGTGTTTAACCTGAATTGGTGTGTCTGAGTTGCGTTTAGGTGTCAGACTGGCTTCTTATGTCCTTCCTTTGTTTTCTCGGAATAGGGTCCAGAGACCCTGTGAATGGCTGTAGAATATGAGTGGGCGGGTGAAAGCAAATATTTATTTGTGTATTTTATTTATATTAATATCACTATAAGACAGTCCAGATTTTGTGGAAATAGAGATTAAAGGATTACATTTTTTTAAATTTGCCTTGAAATGTTTATGCTGTTAGCATTTCTCCCACTTGGTGGCACTGCTGGTTATTTCTTTATTTTTTTTAAACGTTCAGCTACTCTTTTGTTGACAAATTCCGTGGTAATAGATTGTACAGTCATGGGGGTGCCATGCTGGTGCAGTGGTTAGCAACGATGCTTCACACATCTGGGACCACGATTCAGGTCTCCACCTTGACTCCATGTGGGGTCGTGAGGTTTTCTCTGGGTGCTCCAGTTTCCCCCAGTTAGCAGATTGCCTGAAGGTGTGTGTGTGAGTGCACCCTGTGATGGGTTGGCGCCCCATCCTGGGTTATTTCCTCCCTTGCACTCGTAGCCTCCAGGATAGACTCCGGACCCCCACCAAAATGGATGGATACACAGTCACGTGAAAAAGTAAGTACACCCCATGAAAAATGTTGTCTTTTTCAACTTGGATTTTAAATCATGATAGAAAAATGTGATAACATTGTAAAAGTTACACTTCGATTTTTCATAATTTACTCTTTTATACAATGAAAATGAAGAAGAATATGAATTTCTTGTGAGGAAAAGGTTAGTGTAGCCCTACATTTATCACCACAGTTAACCTAAAAAGTAATATTAGATGCACCAAATGATTAAGAATATATATCAACTCAAGATTGTTATTTACCATTAAACACCAGCATGAGGGAGATCACTCCTGGGACAATGTGCTCTGGGCAGATGAGTCAACGGTGGAATTGTTTGGGCAGAGTTCCAGGTGTTGTATTTGGGGATAAAACACGGAACTAGGAAAAAAGAACCTTACTTCAGCTGTGAAGCTGGGAGTGTTTTGGGTTGGGGCTGTTTTATTGCCTCAGGGTTGGACCCACCTGCCATCATGGTGCCTACAGTGAATCAACATCATGCCGGAGAATGAGAGGCAGTCTGTCAGAAACATGAAGCTCAGGCTTCATTGGGCCTTTTGACGTGATAATGACCCCAAACATACAGGCAAATCAACAAAGGAGTGGCTCAAAACACTGAAATGGGGGGGTGGGGGCTTAGGAATAGCCTAGTCAAATGAATCCAACTGAAATGTTGCCGGAGGACTTGAAGAGGGTCGTATGAGAGGTCCCGCCAACATCACACGGTTAAAGGGATTCTGCATGGAAGAATAGGCAACAATTTCTCCAGGCTGATGTATATAAAAAAATAAAAAAAAAAGTTATAAAATGTTTTCAATACGTATCTGCCAAAGGGGTCAATACCAGGTATTAAATGTAAGGCTGTACTTACTTATTCCCCACAGAAAAGATACGTTTCGGTTGAATTTTATTGAATAGCTGATTTTGCAGTCAAATTTGCATTGTTTTTAACATTTATTTATTTATCTGGCAGATCCTTTTGTCCAAAGCAGCAGACACAGAGCCGGGACAGACAGCCTCCTTGCTTGAGGACCGACAGCAGTACCACTTCTCTGCCGTCTGTGGGATTCAAACCCATGACACAGGCATCGATCTCTGTCACTCTGAGTCCTTCCATTAAGTCGCACTTCTTATTAGCTGAGGCATACCAGCCTCATCCTAGGGTGCAGGAATAGAGTTTGTAGGACAGGTTTGCTCTGAGCTGAAGTACAGTGAGAATCCCTTCTCTTTCAGAGCACCTGATTCTCTTTCAGAGCACCTGCAGTAAAAACCTTTCTGCTTCTCCAAAGGGGCAGAGAGGAGAACTTACAGGCTCAGGAGGGGAATTGTGGTGTGGAGGTGCTGAGAGCTCTTCCTATGTGAGGTCGCAGAACAACAGGCCTGAGATGGACCCTCACTGTGAACAATGAGGCCCATCCACCCATCAGAGCCAGAGGAATCCTGTGGGCGTAACTGGGGGGGGGGCATGGTGAGCCTCCATCCGTCTTCTGAATACCTATCCTGGTCAGGGTCATGGGGGGCCTGGGGCCCGTCCTACGCAGCTTAGGGTAAAAGGCAGCCCCCCACCCTGGAAGAATTCCACCAGCCAGAAGATTAGGCTGAAGGGCTACAGAGAGAGGTCTGGGACGGCCTATTTCTGGGGCTAAAGGCCACGTTTCCGGCCTTACAGCTGATCTGGGATCAGAGAACTGTTGCAGTTGGCTTAGATGAATTTCTGGTCAAGAAACGGGCAGAGTCTTCTAGCTGCAGCTGGTGTGTGTGTGGGGGTGTGTGAGGCTTGTCACCAGAAAGACTCTGAATGCAAGAGTGTAAAATAATATACTTATTTTTTTGTTTGCATTCCATCTGAGTGAAATCATTCCTCTTGTTTTCTGGACACGGTTGACATGTACCAGAAGTGTAAATTAGCAGTTAGTCAGGGAGCCAAGCC